TGGACGCTGTGGATTGTTAGGAATAAACTTGTGATTCAGCGTATCCCTCTTCGTCGTGCTACTAACGCTTTGTTCAAATGGTCTGGTTACTTGCAGCTTTGGCGGCCACTTAGCCGCCCCAGGGAGAGAGACGCCATCACCTCCATCATCAACCAGCTTCGCGCGATGTCTCTCCCGATGGCTCCACCGCTCCCCCCACCACCGCCTGAGCCAGATTAGCTCTTCATCGTCATCGCCGCCGCCGCCGTTTGTTGTCTGTGCGTTCCTTGTTGCTTTGTTGGGCTTGTTCTGCTGTGCCCACAGCTGAACCTGTGTTGTGTGTTGTGTTTCGTGCGTTTGTGTTGGACCTTTGCGTGGTGGCATTGGGTGTGTGTGTGTTTCAGATGATACCTTGTGGACCTTGTGCTCAGTGGTTGCTTTATTTATAAAGCGGGGCGAAAACCTTTTTGGATACACATGTGCCAGTTCAGGTATTGAGATGGATTAAAAGCTTTGAGAGAATAGAGAAATGAATAAAGAGCACCATGCATGTTCATGCTGCTTACATGCATGTTCGTACTGTGTAATGTTGTGGTGTGCGATTTGTATGCTATGCGCTGCTTATTGTAATAATAATTAAACTATTACTCGCACTTCTGTATAAATGTTGATGATGATTTGTGTTAATACTATTTCTGAATTAAGGTCCCTTGTGTGGCATATGAATCCGTTGTGTGATTTAGGTCCTTTATCAGGCAGATGCTTGCAGTTTTATGTTTGTGCTCCTGTAAATTTGCCATGATCATTAGAACTAGCGATGTGTGCACACAGACACAGAGTTTCAAAATTGCAAACTCATTTGTCTCTAAAGTAGTAGCACATAGCAAAAAAAGATTGTATGCAATATATCTTTATTTATGAAACATTCATCTGGTCACCTGCCTCCCACACTACACATTATTTACATATATTAGCATATCTTTTCTATCAACATTGGAATCTTGGGCATTTAATTCTTAATAAGATCAGTCACAAAAGGAATCTTAATAGGATGGTTTGTGTTGAACAATGCCATTCGACATTATCCAATCTATCAATTTATCTTTATTTATGTAGTATTCATATGGCCACCTGCCTCCCTTACTGCCCATTATAAGAGAGATGATTCATATCCTTAGCTTTGTACATAGATGCCTTATATACCTCCTCTTCATGTGCCCCTTGTCAAGTGTTCCGCTCACATACAACTCTCATCCTTGCCGAAGCAACATGTTGCATCTCCTCCAAGTGTTCTTGGCTTATCAATCATTTTATCCTAAGCATGGGAGGTGTCGGGAAGTTCCCAACAATCTACCATGTCCTCACACCTCTTGGCTTCCACTCCACCAGAAGATTCTGGCAGCTAACATACTGAAAGAGGGAACCTTATTGTACATGCCCACCCACCATCAACGGCTGAGCTCTCGTGATCCGTCGACTCCCCTGTGATGGTTGTCTGATCCTTGGCGCGCTCGTGGGCTGCCTTGACAGACACCATCGACACTGCGCTCCATCTACCTACATGGACGGTAGGTGGGGAAGCTCCTGGAGGCGAATGCGCCAAAGCAGATCCTGGTGTATACCATGAAACCCGTGGAAGGAGCTAACATCCCAAGGAATACGGTTCACCTTCAGTGGTTGCAGAATGAAGTCGATCATACCCTCTTGCCCTTGTGCTTTTAGTCATTTACAGTGTGAAAATCTGTCAAGTACTACAGCTAGTATCTCCTGTTTTTGCTAGCACTGTTGGGTTCACAGACACGATCAGAAGTTGGTTTTGGAAAAGACGATCCAAAGGAGTTGAACATTGCTGTACTACTAATTAAACACTACATGGTACTATTTAATTACTATAAACAGTACAGGGTCACTCACAAAAAAAAGTACATGGTGACAGTAACTTTTAACAATGCCAAATATATACTCCCATCAGTGAAGAGCAAGCAGATCAACTATCACAATTTTAAATTGTGGGCGGAACAGATGGCGCTATCGCTGATTAAAATCTGCCACGCGATTTGCTTGGTTCAGGAAATTGCGGGAGATCGCGGCGATTTCCTGAACCATGCAAATCGTGTGGGCGATTTTAATCTTTGTCGACTGCTGAGTTATCTGCACTCCGCCCTAACGATTCACAGGGGTTTCCCCATTTCCCTGCGGTAATGAAATTGTATTGATGCAAGATTCCATTTCTTTTTACAATCACGACGGCCTTCTATAGAAGGAATGCTTCATCAGCATTTAACTTGTTTTTCTTCTCTCTCTGAAAAAGCAGTCGACTTCTTTCTAATACTCTATTTTAGATAGAAGAAAGGGACTGGAAATTGCAGAATATTTGCAATTTTATTGGTGTCATCTCGGATAAACTGTTTTGTGGATGCGCATTTAGGCCACGACCAGCAACATATACTCACTTATACACGATGCATACATAATGGAAGTTTCTACATACAGCAATATATACCACCTTGCTGCTCTCCTGCACCAACCTCAGTAATTTACAGTTGCTTTAATAGCATCCAGGATCTGCAACAACCAACCAACACATCAGGGTCAGAGCAGTATGTATACCAATGCAGCCAAGCCAAAGATCAAATCATCATTGATCCCACCAAGTACCTTGTTCTTTGTGGGCATGTAGAATGGTTCATAAACAAGAGGGAAAGGGGTGTCGAGGCCGCAGACCCTCGCGACAGGGGCTTCTAACTGCAACACATAGCGATTTTGACCACGTCAGCTTCCTGATGATTATCTAAGTGCCTACTGCTCTTATGTGTTAAGGTTTTCCTTTGTTCTATTAAACAGCTTAAAGATTTAGTACCCTACCCTCTGGAAGCAGCGCTCAGCAATGGATGCAGCGATTTCCGCACCAAACCCTCCGGTGATCGGGGCCTCATGACTAATCTGTGATGTGATAGTGCTTCATTCACTGATGACGACGATGATAATGATAATGGAGCATTCTCGGCAAAAATATGACAATGGAGTAAAGAATACGCCGAAAGAGGAGGCAACGTACAAGAAGCTTTCCGGTCTTGCTGACAGAGGCCTCAACTGTTTCCTTGTCCCATGGAATTAGCGTTCTTAGATCTATGAGCTCGCAAGAAATTCCGTCCTGTAATTCAATATTGTACTGATAGTCAGGCATGGTTTGTGGAACACTGCGCAAGGCAATGAAGACATGGAGATGAATCAAGATGGTAACATCCATGAAGACACAAGCATCATTTGCAACGATTTGCCAAACTGGGGTTCTATGTTGATCGGTGTTATTAATTCTTAAAAGCAAAATGCAACCAGTCTTCCATAGACCTAGATTAGCATGTGCGTTCTGAAATGCAGTGTTTGTGTGCTTTACCAACTATCTGCTGATCATATATGTTGATTCACGGCAAATGGAATCAGAATGTTTATTTAATTCTATTTCATCGATAATATAAGAATATATTAGTTTTTTCTCTAGTTTTGGCCATGTAAGCATTAATTGAATTTTGTTCTTAGAACCAGCATGAATGACTGACCTTTGAAGCATCTTCACATGCTTGTTCCAGCACTGCAAGTTGAGCTCCCCAACCAATAAGTGTTATATCACTTCCTTTGCGAATTACCTAAAGCACAAAAGTTGCATGAATATTTGTGGTTTCTTTATCACCAAAACAATATACATGATAGAGATGTGCGCACTTCTGCCTGAGATAAAGGCAGCATATAGTCTCCCTCAGGAACTTCTTCAACAGACAAACGGTACAGCCACTGTAAAAATAGAGCAAAGCTGCTTGTAAGAGCATTCTCTAATAACAAAATCAAGATTATACATCATCTGTTCTCGTACAATTATTCTACCAGAGATATATACAAGTCTTCAACCAGCAGAGGAATTTTTTTCAAATTTTTGCTCTACCTTTGGCTCGAAAAAGATGACTGGGTTTGGGTCACGAATGCTGGCCAACAACAGTCCCTTGGCCTCACGTGGACTTCGAGGTATGACAACCTGAAATTACTTTTTTTTTCTTAGTACTCAGAAAACAACAGACATTTCTATATACAATTTCAGAAATGCCCTAGAGCATCAAGCAGGACTACCGGAAAATGTTGCTTGATATTGTTATACTACCTGATTTTACAAATAAAATTTCTTAAGTCAACTAGGCGATGTGGTTTCCACTGGCATCCTAACTATTTACTGTAAATGGTTAGAATTACTGTACTGAGAACGTTAGATTTACAGACTAACCTTCAGGCCAGGAACATGGCAGAAAAAAGCTTCTGGTGACTGTGAATGGTAGTGACCGCCATGTCCAACAGCACCATATGGAGATCGAATTGTTAAACCTAGAAAATAAGACAACTTCAGGATGTTTCACCATTATAATAACATGAAAATCAGGAAGGGAAAATAGTTTTTTTTTTTGCGGGGAAAAAGAAGTTACCTCCACAGTTAAATTCATTTCCACTTCGGTATCTGAATTTAGCTGCTTCGTTGACGATCTGCATGAGAAGTCATATGAACAGGTTGGAACAAGACATTGATCAAACCTATATAAACTCAGTCAACTTGGCAATGATCAAGAACTAAAATGGTTTTACAACTGAATGCAACAGTATCACTGTAGAATCCAGAGTTCAAGATAAAGCATTGGAAATGCTTGCAGCAGAAAGATTTTACTAAGAAAGAGAAGCTCCAATAATCTCTGGCAGCAAGTAGGTAAGGTACTTCCTGCAACTGAGATACTCAGTAATATAATGCAGTCCAAATAGCAACTATTTAGAAGTGTCTGCTGTCCATAATGGAAGAGCTCGAATAGGTAATGTAATCAGAGACATGCCTGATCAAATGCTGGAAAGATATAATCTGCAAACTGGATTTCGGCAATAGCTCTATTTCCCTGCAGGTTGAAGATAAGCAAATAATATGAGCCTTCCATTGCCAAGATGATAGAAGTGAATAGTGATTCACTGATTTGCAAATAGTTACTCAGTGATGCAAAGATTGTAAGGTTTCTTCTTTTTTTTTTCCGCCAAAGGGTGGATTGTAAGCTTTCTATTTCATATAAAATTTGATTGAAATTAATTATGTATGATAAATCACATATAACATATCCAGTCTCCCATTTAAAGGAATCTTTAGGCTCCAAAGATTCAAGTGACATGAATCAAAAAATTTAGTAAGATGTATGTTTTGAAACTGTAGAACTTTAAAAACTATCATAAGCAAATTACCATTGGTAAATCAAGGACTGAGTATCGTTACAAAGAAACATTCAATTTTCTCTTTGACTCACCATTGCTGCTAAGCCAATAGCAAATCCGGCAATACCCTGTTTGAGAAGAACTGGTCGACTGGTCAGAACAGAGAATATAGCATGCACAAGCACATTTAAGGCGTACTAGTCCACTAGAATGCATCAAAACATGTCTGAATGTCAGGAAAAAAATTCCGAAAACAAATGATGACATAACAATGATACACATATATCATAACACACAATTTCAACTCCAACTCTTGTCTACAGTTTCATAAACAAAACAGAGAAGATAATGAGACTGTGAATAGTACAAAATTCAGATCTGGTCCATCGTTTTTATTTTCAGAGTTGTGTGCTGGTTTTGGATCTGAAGAAAGTTAGGTATAGTATATGCACGTAGAACGAATGCTGCTTATTTATTTTTTCCCAGAACTTGCGTAATGCTGAATTAAGGACTTAGCGCACTGGTACACCTAAGCCATATGAACTTCAGTATAATGGACTCAAACGTATACCTGTAGTCAAGCATAGCAGACTGTAATCACTAACTCTTTTCACAATGTATACTGTAGTGTTGCCATAGCCTAAGCAGGTACAGCAAGTAAAGATGCACCTGTTCACACAATGGTGTATTGAATACTCTTTGTTTCCCAAATCGATCAGCTAGCCCTGTTGTGCAGCGAAAGACGCCGCCAAAACCCACATCCTCTCCAAAGACATAAGAGCTGTCAAAATGAAACTCATCTTCAGTTCACTGGAATGCGTGTACAACTAGCACAAATGGGTCGTGATCTGGGAATGTTCAGATAAGACTTTGCTTTCTCTTACACATTTTCCTAGAATCAACAGTCCAAAACAAGTAGAAATCCTTTGTCCTAGGAGAGTCATTTGCAAAAATTTATTAACTCTCCAAACAAACATCATCCCCAATTACACACTTACCATTCATTTCCCTACAAATGTAGTATAGTCGAACTGAATGCAACAGCTATGTGTATTTATTTTTCTTTAATTTTCAGAGCTCGTATTCTACTGGGAACACTAGTATACTGACATGGTGTACAGCAGAGATGTTGACAGCGGAACATATTATTACAGCAAAAAGAAATGTTAAATTATCAAATAATTTAGGACCGGCGGGGGCCCTCACCGCGGGTCGGTGTCGAGCGCGATGTGGAGCGCCTGGTTGACGGCGGTGAAGAGGTTCACCGCCTTCCCACCTCCCCCGTCTCCCCTCTCCGCCGCCCCCGCCGGAGCAGCGGCGGTGGCGCTGTCGGAGAAGCGTCTGCTCCCTCCAATCCCCGCCACTCCGACCCTCCTCCACACCACCTCCCTCAAAGCCCTCGTGGCCATCGAAGCCTCACGAAGCGGAAGCGGGCTCTTCGCCGCTCGGTGACGGACGGGAGCTCGTGGAGCAGCGCCGTGGGAGAACCGGCCGATCCGGGGAAGGGCAGGCCGGCAGCTGCTCGGCGCGCCGTCGCCGTCCGCAGGCAGTGGTTCCCGCTGGGATTTGGGAAGTGGAGGAGGAATTGGGGATGACCGGAGACGGAGAGAGCTGAGGGGGAGGGGCGAGTGAGGTGGGAGAGATTCAGACGTTTTTCACTCGTCAAGCGATAAGCACACTGGACTTGCCACGCAGGCCACACATGCACGTGTTAATCATGGGGGAAATCTTTCTTCCCTTATCTATCCAACATCGTCCCAACCGGATAGACTTTGATGGATTGCACGAGACTCAAACCCTAGCCGCCGTCGCCGCCGCAGCAGCTTCCCTGCGTGCAGACTCGTCGGCCCCCTCCTCCTCCTTGTCCGGCAGGGTTGGTGGTCGGTAAGAGGAGTGGGGACCCATCTATCTCGTTTTCTTTTTCTTAGGTTTTTGTTTCCCTGATAACATCGATGAGATGGCGACGGTGATGACATGTTGTTGGATCTCTCGATACCTCGGCGACGTCTGGTCCAGCGCTCACAAAGTGCCTATGCGATTTTGTGTCCCAAGATATGTTGGTTCTCTTTAGATCTTGACGGCTGGTGTGTCTTTCGAGGAGAGTTATTGGTTTAGCTATTGATGCGACTATCTCGGTATCTTGTACCGTGTTGTGTTGTTCTGTGGCATGATTCGGTTTCATGAACTCCCTGAACGGGCGATGATGAATTGCATACCCGTACTAAGTGGGATGACATGCTCCAACGATGATGCTTCAGTGATTTCTGGATATCAGCTAAAAGGGCGGGTGTCGATTACGGTCTTCAAAGTCTGGTATGGTAAAGGTGTTTGCAGGTGTCTTTTTCTTTTACTGTTCGTTCAGTGCAATTTTCAATCTTCGGCGGGCGACGTACAATCGAAGAAACAAAAAGGCTAGTATGATTTCTAGTGTAGTTTTACCTTTTTTTACTAGTTGTTATACATTTAGTTGTTTGTCCATTGTACTAGCTTTTGTTTCTCTTGTTAATCAAATGTAATATGCCCCCGGGGTGTCTTTTCTCAAAGAAAAAATAATTGCTCCCCGGAAACGTTGCGGCGGTTTTCTCACTCGAACCGATGCCCACGCAAACATAATCCAAGTTTCATTGTTGTTCATTGTCTCCCATTTTATTTTTTCTCTCTCGGATGACAGCTGCACTCATGCTCCTGCAGCCGCCGCGGTGGCGCATATGCCACTCAAATTCTACCAGTTGGAGTGTCCAGAACACCTCCCAAAAGTACAATACGAAAGTTTCGAAGTGAATTTCCGACGTGTCCAGATTCTAAGGTCAGTTCCCGAGCACACTCCGGATGGTACCAGTCACTGATGTCAAGTTAGAACACAGGCTGGAGGTGACATCAGATTTTTGGGTCGGTTCCGAGGTCTCCGGATGCCAAAGCTACTTGCAGGGTGATTTTCGGCTGATATCAGAGGCTCTGTTAGTCAGATGAAGCCTACGCCGAGGTGCTCCCGGAAGTTGGTCACAAAGCTTTCAAACAGTGTAAAGAATCCTAATGTGGATAAAATGAAGTGACACATATATCTTTCAAAGAGGATATTGTTGGAAATATGCCCTAGAGACAATAATAAAATGGTTATTATTGTATTTCCTTGTTCATGATAATTGTCTATTGTTCATGCTATAATTGTATTGACCGGAAACCGTAATACATGTGTGAATACATAGACCACAACATGTCCCTAGTGAGCCTCTAGTTGACTAGCTCGTTGATCAACAGATAGTCATGGTTTCCTGACCATGGACATTGGATGTCATTGATAACAGGATCACATCATTAGGAGAATGATGTGATGGACAAGACCCAATCCTAAGCATAGCACAAGATCGTGTAGTTCGTTTGCTAAAGCTTTTCTAATGTCAAGTATTATTTTCTTAGACCATGAGATTGTGTAACTCCCTAATACCGTAGGAGTGCTTTGGGTGTACCAAACGTCACAACGTAACTGGGTGACTATAAAGGTGCACTAAAGGTATCTCCAAAAATGTTTGTTGGGTTGGCACGAATCGAGACTGGGATTTGTCACTCCGTATGACGAAGAGGTATCTCTGGGCCCACTCAGTAATGCATCATCATAATGAGCTCAATGTGACTAAGTAGTTAGTCACGGGATCATGCATTACGGAACGAGTAAAGTGACTTGCCGGTAACAAGATTGAACGAGGTATTGGGATACCGATGATCGAATCTCGGGCAAGTAACATACCAATTGACAAAGGGAATTGCATACGTGATTGCTTGAATCCTTGACATCGTGGTTCATCCGATGAGATCATCGTGGAACATGTAGGAGCCAACATGGGTATCTAGATCCCGCTGTTGGTTATTGACCAGAGAACGTCTCGGTCATGTCTGCATGGTTCCCGAACCCGTAGGGTCTACACACTTAAGGTTCGGTGACGCTAGAGTTGTTATGGGAAATAGTATGTGGTTATCGAAGGTTGTTCGTAGTCCCGGATGAGATCCCGGACATGACGAGGAGCTCCAGAATAGTCCGGAGGTGAAGATCGGTATATTGGACGAAGGGTATTGGAGTCCGGAATTGTTCCGGGGGTACCAGGTAATGACCAGCGTGTCCGAAAGGGGTTTCGGAGGCCCCGGCAAGCGTTGGGGGTCCTTATGGGCCAAGGGGAGGGGGCACATCAGCCCACTAAGGGGCTGAGCGCCCCTCCCACCCCATCTCACGTAACCAGGAGAGGTGGGGGCGCCACCCCTAGGGCAGCCGCCCCTCCCGGCTTGGGGGGCAAGTTTCCTAGGGGGTGGGG